GCCCTCGTGTAGCTTTGCGCGAAATTCAAAAACAAAACAAACAGGTACAGCTTTCTTCTGTCTTGTTTTAATTGATAACTGGGAACGTCGTTAGTACAATATTTATTCGAATATTTAGCTCTATCTAGTTATGCCGAAGATACATCTGAGAATTAATTTCTCACGTGATCATTATATGAACCTTTTGGCTTATTACAAGCTATTATGCACAAACACACACACACACATACATATATATATATATTTGAGGGAGCTGCTTGCGCGCACGTGTGTGTACTGATAAAACCTGAACGTTCTTTATAGCACGGAGCTTTTAATATGGTATATAAAGGATCACATAGCGGAAATCTGTGCAACTGATTTACTGATTTCCGTAAAAAATAAGCGACTTCCTCCTACAGAAAAGAAATCACCGACAAAAACTGCCTATATGTTACGTCACTTCCGTTATAGTGAGGAAGGAAAGAGGTGTTTTCTGGATTCTTAAAAGTTGTTTATAAGTTGCAGACTTTCACGGACTCTATAGAAAAAGAGAGTTCACGTTTTGACAATTAAACGTACTTTTAGTTAATATAAAAGGTAAGATTCAATAGTATCTTCTACATACTAGTGCCACCCAGTGGCACAGCGGCATGTCTGCGGACTTACAACGCTAGAAACCGGGTTTTAATACCCGTGGTGGGCAGAGCACATATAGCCCATTGTGCAGCTTTGTGCTTAACTTCAGAACATACAAACATTACATACTGGATTAAACTAAAAGCTTAAGAGACTACAGTGAATTTTTTTTAATGAAATGTAGGTTTTACACCACGTACACACATAAGCCTCTTTGTTTGTATGTTACAAATGTATATTGTTCCAGCAATAATGGAGTCACAGTAGGCGAAATATTTTAATACAATATTACCTGTGTTGTGATCTCTGGTCCATGTTCCATTGCATACATTATGCTTTCAGAAATCTTGGCGTCCATCATAGTGAGGACCTTCTCGATGTTGTGGTAGTCTAACATGCCAGAAATTATGAGCTCAATACCAGTTATAAACTCACTCCAAGGATGGTCCAGTTCGGCAACTTGCGCGAGACAACCACGAGCTACGTTTAGGCAATAGCCAGTACAAGGTTTCTCAGCCATCGAGTTTTGACAATAAGCACAGTAGGTCATGCTGACCAAAGCTTTGTTACACTCTGTTTCCAAGTCCTTGTAGTCCGTGGTGTTAATAACTTCTAGACCGAGACTCAAGGCTTGCAGAAATGTCCGCGCATCATGAAAGGATCTAGTCACTTGAAGAGCCAGCCTGTAAGGTTTCTCATCGAAAGGTTTGATATCCGCGTGAACTCTCCGCAAGCACTTAACAAACTCGTCTCCGAAGTCACCAACGTTGCTGTTGATTCCATGCCGGTAGATGTGCGGGAAAAGAGAGGCGAAGAAATCGGACAGTTGGACCTCGAGGTCAACGTTCTTTCCACGAAGAAAGTCCATTAGATCGCTGTAGAGCTGGGTTACTGCAAACTGTGCTGCTGGTTCCAGGTTCTGGTACACTTGGCCGAAAAGCGACTTGGTATTGTTTTCTGACCACCTGGTCATTCTGATGAAGTTTTCTGTGAAGAAAAATAGAAGATGTTATAATCTTTAAACACAAGTAGTCAGACATTGTATCATCTATCAGCTACAGTTCTCGTTTCTAACGGATACCTCGAAAATATCACCAACAGTCCCTCGGTATTCGTCATCAGACATCATGTAATAACTCAACAAAATATAAAATCTATCTATATAAAGTAGAATATCCGACATGACTACGAAGCTACTTCAACACGTGGTTTTCTCTATCTTTAAAATACTCCTCAGACTTTTACAAAAGCTAACTAGTCATTGATTTTGGTTTAACAAAGCAACTTCAAATACGTAATACTCTAACTATACTTCGCTTCATATACAGAAAATTTGCGAGCTTTAATTTTATTTACGCCGAAGACTATTCACGTAACCTATAGAATTATATTAAAAAACAAGGAAACCTTTTGTTATTACCAAGTAACACGTCGTTATTAAGAAACGAGTTGTTACTAAGGGACAGGTTGTTACTAAGAAACACGTCGTTACTAAGAGACAGGTCGTTACTAAGAAACACGTCGTTACTAAGGACGAGGTGTTATTAGTAACACGTACGTTATTAAGTAAACGTAGTT